AAAAAAAAAAAAATTGAATCCAATACCAAGTATGTTTTAAGAAGCACATGAGCAGGAGTGGGTTTCAATTTTGAAAAGGCCTGCCTATCCATCTGCCTTTATCAACATTAGACAATCATTATTTCAAAAATGACATATGCACAGCAGTTTCATGGGGAGTGATAACTTTTTAAAACCTCTATTCTAGATACAGTGTTAGATATTGAGAGGTGGAAAGAACCAGGCTGAATATAGAGTTAATAGCAGAAATTTATTAAGAGCATCTGCAAGCAGATGGGGTACCGCCAGAAAAGGAAAATGGTGATAGCACAGAATTAGGGAAAGGACTTCTTTTAAAGTATTTTAGGGTGTGTGCACTTGTAGCTCAGGACATGGTGGGCATGCTATGACAAAAATTAAAAGCCACCCTTTGGAGGCTTTGTGAAAGTTCCAAGGGTTATCTGTATGTCTTCTGTAACCTGGAAGGAAGGTTTTAACAGAACTAGAAGAGCAAAGAGAGTTCTATTCTTTGCTTAATGAATGTCCAGACCCACTGGAGCCAGAGAAAGACTAACATTTCATTTCAGCCTGTTGGTATTAAAAAAGAAAAAGAAAAAATTCTGGAGTTGCAGTTAAGGTCTGCTAATTGGCTGGTTTGGGGGAGAACCGTCAATCCTTTGGTATGGGCTACTGTATAGATAGGTCAGTTACTAGAATGAAGGACCTTGGATGGAGTGTCCTAAGATGATTTGAGTCAGTCCTTAGTCTGGCTGGGTCCATTCTTGGAGTGCAGAACCTGAAAGATATCTCAAAAACTATTCCAAGGTTCCAAATAGGTATGTTCTATACTGACAATTATGCATGACTGCAGAGTAAAGAAGCAAAGGGCAACAGTGGTTATTGTTAAGCAAATGAAAGGACAGTGGCTGATTACTATCATTATTTTAGCTAAGCCTACTCCTTCACAGAGCTCTTGGGGCCATTACTCTAGTTCTCACCTTGCACCTCCTCATCAATTTGTAAGGGGGTTTCAGACAGATCATGAGAGAAATTGTGAAGCTGATGTTTTTAAAATCAAAGATGAAAAATAATAAAGAAGCATATGGATTGGTGAACGGCATGGGATTCAGCAAGTGAAGAGGTTTTAAGAATCATAAAGAAAATATCCAGAAACAGCAACAATGAACAAAGAGGAAGTAGGAGATGAGACCAGCAATGACTTCTGTAGAAGGCTGAAATGAGGACTTTTCTTCTGAGAAGTTAGTAAGAGTATTCCTGGAAAAAACTAAAATGAAATGGAATTCATTCATAGTTGAACAGGATTTGTGGAAAATTTAAGTGAATGTGTGGCCAGTGGGGGTATTGCTGCAGACTCAGAGCTCAGATTGGTAGGAATGCTACGCCATTCAGGAAAGTTTTGGCAGGGGGATTTGAGTTTGCACCTGTGGGGTTAACATTCAGGGACAGGAATGAAGTTAGAAGGTAGGATGCACATGAGTGTGGGGAAAGAGAGAGCTAGAGGTTCAGTGAATTGACTGACCCCAGCATTCTCAGGAAGTTATAGTTGCAATGTTGAGGTCCTGATGCTTCCTCAGCAACTCTTCCAGGTCCCGGTTTGCTGATGATTGATCTCAGATAATTGCAATAAGAGGGCAACTAATAAAGGGGGATAAAGAGTGATCATTTATTTTGTCATTATATATGAAGAGGAAAAGTATTGAATTAGAAATATTTACTAAGAAAGCCTATACCATAATTTAACACTGTTACAGAATTCCAGGTTTAAGCAGTTGGCTAGAAAGCAGCATCATATGCATGCAGTGCAAAGGACTTGGGATTTGGGAATCAGATGGGCTGAAATACTCATTTTTAACATTTACCAGTTATGTGAGACCTTGAAAAACTGTTCTCTCTGAACCAAAGTTTCCTCACTGGTAAAATGATCATCATATAGCCCCTAGTTTATAGAGTATTTCAAGATTTAAATGAAATACTGTAAATCAAGAATTTAGATAGTAGGTCTTCACCAGTGACACTCTTCTCTTGAAGAAATACAGAGTAACCTGAGGAGGTACCAAATACTAAACACTATTTCTGAAATTAGATATTCACAAAGTAATAAGCATTCCATAAATATTAATTATAGGAGTACATGTAAATATGCAAATGTATATATTATTAAAATTTTATAGTTAGAATATTTGCAGTATAGTGCTTAATATACATATTACTTAAAGGAAATTACATCTCCCAAGTAATGAAAAGTGAAAAAGTAAAAAAGTAACTCTAGATGTTCCCCTATGTTTATTGTCACTTTACCAGGTAAATTTGGTATGTCAGAATTATGTGACCTAATTTTAATCTGTAGGCTGTCTCATTAATGCTAAAACATTTAAATTCAAATTTTCCAACTCTTATTGCTAAAGTGACCCATGTACTTACAGATGAAAATATTTTACTGCCCAAGAAAGTTTACCACTATATTGACTGTAATTTTTGCTGTTAGCCTGGATTTTTTATAGCTTTTCCAAAATTATTTGAAATTGTTTTGTATTTTGTTTTTGATTTATTTTACAATTTTGACCCTACTAAATTCTGTTGAAAATTCCAAGGCAGAAGTCATTAATGTGACTTTGTTTTCACAAAAATAAAAGAATCAAAGAGAATAAAAGAGTAAATCTTTTTAGTAATTTTGAATATATTTATGAGGAAATAATATGGTCTGTTTAAATAAGTGCTTTTTTGCATTTTAAATAAAATGTATTTTTATTAAATATGAAATAAACATTTTTTATTTTTTTTGTAGAGACAAAGTCTCACTTTCTCACTTTATTGCCCTCTGTAGAGTACTATGGCGTCACACAGCTCACAGCAGCCTCCAACTCCTGGGCTTAGGGAATTCTCTTGCCTCAGCCTCCCAAGTAGCTGGGACTACAGGCACCTGCCACAATGCCCGGCTATTTTTTTGTTGCAGTTTGGCCAGGACTGGGTTTGAACCTGCCACCCTCGGTATATGGGGCTGGTGCCCTACCCACTGAGCCACAGGGGCTGCCCGAAATAAACCATTTTTTAAATATTTAAAACAAATACTTACCAAATATCTTGCCAACTTTAAAGGGAAATGTTTCCATTTTGAGGGGTTTTTTTGTTCATTTGTTTGTTTTTGAGACAGAGTCTCACTTTGTTGCCCTCAGTAGAGTGCTGTAGTGGCATATAAAGCTCATAGCAACTTCAGACTCCTAGGCTCAAGCAATCTTCTTGCCTCAGCCTCCCGAGTAGCTGGGACTCCGGGCACATACCACAATGCCTATTTTTTAGAGATGAAGACTCTCTCTTGCTCAGCCTGCTCTGGAACTGAGCTCAGTTGATCCACCCGCCTTAGCCTCCCAGAGTGCTAAGATTACAGGCATGAGCCACCACACTCAGTCTAAGAAAGTGTTTTTGATGACAATTGATAACTCTTCTATTTTGTTGATGCTTTTTTTCCCCCTAATTTTAATTTATACATTTCTTTAAAATGTTTTTGTAGTAGGCTGGGCGTGGTGGCTCACACCTATAATCCTAGCACTCTGAGAGGCCAAGGCGGGTGGATTGCTTGTGCTCAGGAGTTGGAGACCACCCTAAGCAACAGGGAGATCTCATCTGTAAAAAAATAACTGGGTGTTGTGGCAGGCACCTGTAGTCCTAGCTACTTAGGAGGCTGAGGCAAGAGGATTGCTTGAGCTCAAGAGTTTGAGGTCACTGTGCCTAACACCATGGCAATCTACTGAGGGTGACAAACTGAGACTATGTCAAAAAATAAAAATAAAAATAAAATAAAATACTTTTGTAGTGAGTCTTGTATATTTAAAGTACTTAAGTGTTAAATTTTCAGTATTTTTAAATAAAAATATTTTTTAAAATGTGACATAAATTAGGCATTTTTGTATTTCCTTAGAATTCGGTTGATATGTTGCCTTTCTTCTGTTTACTAAATGTCTATATTTTATCCATCATCAATGTTCATATATGTTTCCCTAATTTTTTCCCTTGCTCCTTTTCAAGGCAGGGAGTAGTAAGGTAAGTATTTTACTAAAGAAATATTCAAAAATTTACTCTTTGTCCTATTTTGATCTTTATAGGATTTTAAGATACTGATTTTTCCCCTATAAAACTTCTAACTACATTCATCAAGAAAGAATTAGAAAATGAACTAGGATAAATCCTACAAAAGAGTTGCATTTGAACTGTAGGCATGCACCGCCATGCCCAGTTTATATGTAGTTATTATGAGGGGCTTACATTATGATAAATTGGTTTTACAAATGACTTTAAAAACTATTATGCTTTCAGGGATGTCCAACCTGTAGTCTGTGGGCCACATGCAGATTACGTGAGGTCTTTTTTGCTTATCTGTAGTGTCAGCTATCACGAAAATTATGCACAAACCCATTTTTTTTGCTCTTTCATTTTGTTAGTGTTGCATTTAATGTGTACCCCAAGGCAACTCTTCTTCCATTGTGGCACAGAGATACTAAAGGTTGTACACCCTTTGCACACAAGATAGTTTTAATTTTTTCTTAAGTTTCAAAGTCTCATAAAAAGAAACTTAACCACACAAATCACACATTTTTGAGTGAAGGATTTTTTGGTTTATAAACATGTTAATTTCATTTAGTGCATGTTTAAGCTATGCATTCATTTAAAAACATTAAAATAGGGTAATATGGTATTTAATAAAATGGTACGTAAGAAAGGACTCTTTAGAGTACTTCTATAGCTACCTTTAGGAAGATGAAAATGTCTTCAGGAAGTTTTTCAAACAGGACAATGTGGAATATGGCTAGTATTTTTTATAAGTAAAAAAAGTTACCACTAAGGAAAATGCTGGGAGATAAGGGTGAAATAAGTAGATTTGAAACCAGATTTCATAGAAACTCAAATATTTGCATCCCTTAATATTCAACAAACAATAAGAATCCATTCTCTATTTTAAGTAGAGTGATTAATGCAAAAATATGAGTCCAGCCAGGTACAGTGACCCGCACCTTGTAGTCCCAGCTACTTAGGAGGCTGGAGTGGGAAGATCGTTTGAGGCCAGGAGTTCAAGACCAGCCTGGGCAATATAGATATAGCAAGACTCCCATCTCTTAACAAACAAATAAATATTTAAAAGTATGTGTAATTAGTGGGGAGAAAAAACAGTCCAGGGTATGAAACAACCTTTAAAAGGGCGCACATAATCTTATACCAATTTAACAGAAAGTATCCGGACCTAGCCTTATATTAGAGCACTTATTCAGTATTCATCTTTGCATCGTAAAGGGTGTATTGACAGTTTAGTGGTCTAGACGAAAGCAGAAAGCACAGGACTAAGGAAGGTTGGGAGGCACTTCACATAAAGAAAAGAGAAGGCCTGGGTATGGTGGCTCACACCTATAATCCTGGCACTCTAGGAGGCCAACGTGGGTGGATTGCTTGAGTTCAGGTGTGTGAGACCCCATTTCTACTAAAAATAGGAAAAGTAGCTGAATGTCATGGTGGGCACCTTTAGTCCCACTATGTAGGAGGCTGAGGCAAGAGGGTCACTTGAGCCCAAGAGTTTGAGGTTGCTATTAGCATTGAGACCAGGGCACACTAGCCTTAGGCAACAGAGTGAGGCTCTACTTCAAAAAAAAGAAAAGAAAGAAAGGAAAATGAATTATTCTGGGAATCATTTGTTCCAGAACAAGAAAACTAGTGGAGTCTCTGTGCCTGTAGCTCAGCAGCTACGGTGCTAGCCACATACACTGGAGCTGGCAGGTTCGAATCCAGCTGGGCCTGCCAAACAACGGTGACAACCACAACCAAAAAATAGCTGGGTGTTGTGGCTGGTACCTGTAGTCCCAGCTACTTGGGAGGCTGAAGCAAGAGAATCACTTAAGCCCAAGAGTTGGAGGTTGCCGTGAGCTGTGATGCTACTGCACTCTACCCAGAGCGACATAGTGAGACTCTGTCTCAAGAAGAAAAAGAGAAAAGAAAGCTAGTGGAGATATAATTGCTGTCTTGAATGTGAATGGACGTTTATGTAGACATGACCTTTTGTCACAAGCAGTGGTCATACAGAGTTTAGATGACCACTGAAGCTGACCACTAATCATTGGTGCTATACAGGGAAAGAAGCCTCTTGGTTTCAATGGGAGTATGGATGCAATTACTTCTGTGATTGTTTCCAATTCTGCTTCAGTTAATATATACTACTAAGGGGAGTTTGTTTTTAAACATAAGTACATCTTTTACTAGCAAAGTCCCAGATCTAGCATGGGCCTGAGTGATTCTGCCTTCTTGGATTGGCTGTCTGGGGAACTCTTTTAGGTCAGAATAGGGGGAACTTAGGTTCCTTAGGCAATTTCCTTGAAAGCAGCTCTGGCCCTAACCGCTAGCCTTAAGTTGGTTTACATTTTACTGCTCATTTTTAAGAGCAGATATAAGCTTAAATATTGTATTTGAAATTCAGATTGCACTGCAGAAAAATAAGTATGACAAGCTTTAAAGTTCACAATATATAAAACATCTTGAATTCTCATTTAGTTTATTTTTCTTTTTTCATCTACTTTCTTCTGATTTCCCTGCCATTAATGGAATAATTTAAGCCTTTTCATACATACAATAATAAACTCAAAAGAACAGGCCTTTTAATATATGTAATATAATTTAATTTCATTAAACTTGTAAAAATATGTTACAGAAGGTATTTTACCAGTGTTAAATTCAAATTTATATTGTAATCTTTTCCCTTTTTTGTCTGCTGCTGAAAAGAGGTTCCAGGTAATCTTTTCTTTGCTATGCTTACAAGGCCTAATTTTGTTATCTGTATATTTACCATTAATGAGCTATGTTACTTGGTGTTCTTTACCTCTATTTATAGTTTTCTACTTTCTTCCCTTTGGAATTAGTATACCTGAATAGCATCTTAATTAGTAGACTTGTACTATAAGTAATGGCTTTACTAAAACTTTTATCTATTCAACATGTATAATTTTGTACATTATATAATTTCATTTTAAGCAATAATATACCTTATATAAAGATCTTTCTTTATAAAACTTAAAATACACCTAAATGTTACATAGGATTATATAGAATAAAAATTACCTTTTTATCGTTTGGGTTACAATTAAAGTTGTCAGATAATAACACTGAATAAAGGTCATCAACAAAATTGACTTGGAAGAAAAGCCAAGGTTCTATCATTCTTTGAAATTATTCTAACATAAATATCTTTAAATGTTAAATACTATGAATTCACTTCTGTTTGTTACTTATGAACATTCAAAAAGCATATGAAGGAGGTTTTAAACCAAAATTTCTATGCTAACTTGAAAAGTTGCTTGTATTTTTTTGATAAGGACATTTTTAGTGACTAGTCATTCTGCTTCTTATTATGTATGAAAACCCACATTATTTTATATTGCATGTGTCAGATATAAAACACTTCATTTACTTTTTATAGATGTATAACTTGATAATCATTTTGAAAATCTAAGCACATTTTAATTTTAGCTAGCTTTGAGAGCTCCTATGTAATTAAAAGTTGATAAATGTTTAGTAAATAGGGAGAATAAGAGAAAAGGAAGAGTTGTAGGTAATAATAATAATAGTGGTAATGACCTTTTACCAAGTGTTGTATGGTTTACATTGCATTGTGACTGTAACATATCTCCCTTGAGTATAAATGAGTGATTCATGGCATTTGGTACCAGGGACTCAGGCTGGGCACAGTTACTCGCCTATAATCCTAGCATGCTGGGAGGCTGAGGCAGGTGGATTGCTTGAGTTCATGAGTTCAAGACCAGCTTGAGCAAGGCAACACCCCGTCTCTAAAAATAGCTGGGTGCTGTGGCGGGCGCCTGTAGTCCCAGCTACTCAAGAGGTTGAGGCAAGAGACTCAGTTGAACCCAGGAGTTTGAGGTTGCTGTGAGCTATGTCAGCATGGTACTCTACCCAGAGCGACAAAGTGCAACTCTGTCTTTAAAAAAAAAAAATGGCTCAGCTCCCATAGCTCAGTGGTTAGGGCGCTGGCCACATGCGCCGAGGCTGGTGGATTTAAACCCAGCCAGAGCCTTCTAAACAACAGTGACAGCAATAACACACACACACACACACACAAAATAGCCAGGCATTGTGGTGGGCACCTGTAGTCCCAGCTACTTGGGAGGCTGAGGCAAAAGAATCGCGTAAGCCCACTGTGAGCTGTGACACCACAGCACTCTACCAAGGGCAACGTAGTGAGACTCTGTCTCAAAAAAAAAAACAAACAAAAACCAATATCAGGGACTTCAGGAAGTGAAGAAGATAAGGGCATGGAGGAACAGGTAATAAGTACAAATTTGAACTCAGATTTGCTTTATGTTGCCAAGAGTATAGAAAGTTCTTAGAACTATTATTGAAATTCAGCTGAAGGAGAATGTATTGAGTACTACCATGTGTAAGGTATGATGTTTAGAATAATAATCCAGACTTTGTTAATAATGCACCCATCAAGAAATTATTGTTAATTTGTGTAGTCTATTCTTATCCTTTTATAATATTTACATTTAAAGCATACCCAAAGGAGTTAAACATAAAATGAATAAAAGTTTTAATATTTTCTTTCTACCTTCCTGTTTTAGAAGCTATCAAGGTGTAAAGGGCAGTTACACCTTGGGGGAAGGTGTGAAAGAAACCTCTCTGAACGGCAGGGGTGGGAGGCTCAGTGAGGGCTTGAAATGCTGTGTGCCTTTTCTCCTTCCTCCTTTTCTGTTTTAGGCCCCCAGTGAGCAGGGCCCCTCCGCAGCCAGAGAAACTCCAAACAAACAATGTTGGCAAGAAAAAGAGACCTATAGAGGTAAGAAAGCCTCACTCTCCAGTGATACTAAAATGTCCCCAGAGTTTCTTTTTATAAAATATCTAAGTCTTGGCATTAGATAAATGTGTTGAATAATTTTTTTGTTTGGTCATAAAAATTGATTACTTAACTCTTACCTGTGCCTGAGTTTTGGATTGATATCCTCAGTTTCTCTCTCTTTTTGTCAGTCTCTTACATCGACTGACACCTGAATCGACTTACCTCAGAGGACTTCTAAACATAAATACAGTAGAACCTCCATAGTTAACCACTTCCCTACATTGACCACCTCCTTAATTTAGCCTAATTTTCATAGACTGGACATGCACCACATGTACATACCAGTATAATAGGCCTAGTCCCTTATGCTACCACTTCCCTATGTTGACCAGTTTGTTACAGTCTCTTGGATCGTCAACTTACAGAAGTTCTGTATAAATGAATGATATATTTTTTTATAGAATCACAGATACCTTGACAGTGTCTTGTAAATTTCAGCCACTAAATAGTATTTAAATTTATGTGATAAAGATTAAACCCTTATGCCAGATCAGGAAATTTAACCTCATGTGATGTTTTCATGGTATAGAGTTTGTGAAGACATTTCTTCTTCTGTCTCTGCTTCTAATCAAAGAAAACTTCCACAATACTTGAAGAAGAAGGACGGTTGTGCAGACATTTTATAAATCTAGTATTAGCAGCAAACAAGCAACCTGTGTAAAGCAGGCATAAACAAGGTGTAAAGCTGTGGGAAGGTGATTTTTGTAGCTCCCTCCCTACCCCAGCCTTAGAAGGTCAATGAAAGTGGACACTTGCATTGCAGAGTTATCTGACTGAACCTTAGCCCCAGTTGTCAGAGATAGTTTACTTAGTTTTTGTCCACTGATGCTAATTGTGCTGTTTGGATTCTTCAAAGATGTAACTTGACATAATTTATCTTAGTTATGTATCCAAATTAGATATCGTGACTACCAGTGAACACAAATTGAAATACTCTTCTTTTGGACACAAAATGTATAGTTGTCCCCCCACATCAGGGAGGAATTGGTTCCAGGATCCCCTTATGGATACTGGAATCCTCAGATACTCAAGTTTCTTGTAGAAAATGGCATAGTATTTGCAAATGATCTATACAGAGCCTCTTGTGTACTTTAAATCATCTCTAGATTGCCTATATTACCTAATACAACGTAAATGCTACATAAAATATTTGTTATACTGTGTTGTTTTTTCTTTGTATTAGTTTTTATTGTTGCACTATTTTTATTGGGTTTTTCTCCCACATATTTTTCATCCATGGTTGGTTGAATCCTCAGACTGTATTTCAGTGTTTAACACATGAAATCTTAACTAAGATTCTTGGAATCAGATTACCTTGTGATTCCATTTTCTTTTTTTCTAACTTTATCTAGAAAAGTATGGAATGTTACGTTTCAGCTGCCCAAAATAGGTTACGTAGAGAAATATGTCTAGCTTAATTTTGTGTTTGAAGTTTGAAACTTTTTGATTGAAGACACTAGCATTATGTATAGAACAAAATAATGATGATTATTTAGACATGATGAAGAGTATAATTTTTAAGGTAAAATTAAAACTGCTCAAGCAGCCAAATTTATTGATATTTCATTACAAATAATCTAAATTTCGCTTGGCGCCTATAGCTCAACCGGCTAAGGCGCCAGCCACGTACACCTAAGGTGGCGGGTTTGAATCCCCAGCCCGGACCCGCCAAAACAACAATGACGGCTGCAACCAAAAAATAGCCGGGTGTTGTGGCGGGCGCCTGTGGTCCCAGCTACTTGGGAGGCGGAGGCAGGAGACTCGCTTGAGCCCAGGAGTTGGAGGTTGCTGTGAGCTGTGATGCCATGGCACTCTACCCAGGGGGACAGCTTGAGGCTCTGTCTCAAAAAAAAAAAAAAACAAAAAACAAAAAACAAATAATCTAAATTTAACATAGCAATGTTTTTGCAGAAAGCCAATATTTGAGTAGCCTTCCATCATCCAAATTGTATTTTGTAATATGAAAGGCTTTTAACTTCTAAACTGGTATTATTTGTATCAGAGAGCTACCAAAAAGTTAGAGCTCAATAACTATTAAGACATAGGACTTCATTCATTTGCTCAGTGTAGTAGTAGACATTCTAGTGATCTTTGACAGTATAGTAATTCTGCAAAGATATAGTTAAACTCTTAAGTTACAGACATGAGTCTTGGAAATCCCTTATTTATGATAATCACACTCAGTACAGGCAAGTGAAAATCAGTTCTTATCCTGTCCTTAACACTGAGAGAAAAAGACAGAGCTACTGTCCAACTACAATGTAATAAATCCAGAAGCACAATAAGCCTACTGTAAACATGTCAAATCTTATAACTACATTCTGAGCCCTACAGGTGTTTCTGGGTTCCTTTGCTGTGCTCACTAAATGTTTGATAATTAACAACAACAATAAAAATCACCAAGAACTTTATACTACCATGGACAGACTCAAAAAGTTTACTTATATGATCTTTCTCCAGACAATAAAATGCTCTATACATGATATCTGTTAAGAGTTGAGAGGGAAGAAAAAACTCTACATCAGTGTTTTTCAACCTTTCTTATCTCCTGGCACTACTGGAAGAGTAGTTAAACTTCTGCAGCACACTTAAATTATGTTGACTAAAAAGAGAGTAAAAAAAAAAAAAAGAATATACTTACTGAGTGGCTTGGCACCTAAAGCGCAGTGGTTATGGCACCAGCCACCTACACCGAGGGTGGCAAGTTCAAACCTGGCCAGGGCCAACTAAACAATTGCAACAAGAAAATAGCCAGGCATTGTGGTGGGCACCTGTAGTCCAAGCTACTTGGGAGGCTGAGGCAAGAGAATCACTTAAGCCCAACAGTTTGAGGTTGCTGTGAGCTGTGATGCCACGGCACTTTACCAAGGGTGACATAGTGAGACTCTGTCTCAAAAAAAAAAAAGAATATACTTACTGAGCTATGAAATTCTTTTGAAGATAATTAATGATCTGTTAAAATTTTCATGGCACACCAGTTGAAAATCACTGCTCTACATGGTAAGTAATAAAACACTGTTATAATTTAGGCAAAAACAAAATGTTATTATCATTTCATATTCACAAAATGATTACTGAAGAAATAAAATTTATAAATTATCACATTTACTCTTAAGTCCAGTTTCCTCATTGAATATCATATATTGAGTGAAACCATTGCATCAGTTTTTGTCTGCCACCTTTGGTAGGTCCCTAATAAATAATTGGCTTAACATGATTCAGCACAAATATCTTCTAATTTTTCAGTCTAAAATTCACTCCCAACCAAAATATTTTGGGACTACATAGAGGAAGAATATAACTGTATAATGGTTTTGTCATCATTATTATTATTATTATAGGACCTTGTGTTGGAGCTTGTTTTTGGTTATCGAGGAAGAGATTGTAGGAATAATGTTCACTATTTAAACGATGGTGATGATATAATTTATCATGCTGCATCCATTGGGATTCTACACAATGTTGCTACAGGTAGGAAACCCTGATCTTCTACCCCTCCTCCACTTTGTAAACTTAGAATTTTTTTTTCTTTTTAGCAGTTTTTGGCCAGGTCTGGGTTTGAACCCACCACCTCTGGCATATGGGGCCAGTGCCCTACTCCCTTGAGCCACAGGCACCGCCCAAAACTTAGAAATTTTTATCTAGCATCTTAAAAACCTTTGTTAAAACTACAGATAGTAATTTGAAAATGTATACAAGAACTGTTCAGAATAAAAAGATTTCATATTTAAGGATTTTCTGATAATATTGCAAGTAACCGAATTTCAGTCCTAATAGAGTATAATACAACAGTGAAGATTTCATAATGCAAAGTTCTCATAGAAGTGAAGGTTAGGGGAGAAGGAGGGAGAAGGATTGTGTGCTCCTACTTAATGGGCCATGTACGGGTATAGGGCACAACTATAAGAAGGATTCTACCTAACAAATGCAAACATTGTAACCTAGTTGTTTGTACCCTTAGTTAACTTGAAATTTAAAAAAGGCAGTGAAAGTTTACTGTATTTTAAAACCATGATTTTTAGTGAAACTTTCATTCTGTTTCCCTTTAACCTCATCATGCGAATGGATGATTGTCTCTGATAGTGAAAGTAGCATGTCTGGTGAGTGAGTGCTTGGTTTGAGGGGTTTTCTTATTGAGGCTTTGGATAGCCAACGAAGAAGCTAAGAAAGCTGCTTGTCTTTGGTTATACTGATGAAACCTTGTGTGATCCAACAAAGCGAGAAAATATTTATTGATGTTTAACTGATTGGATTGTTGAAGAGCACATAAAAGTTCTCTTAGAGTCATCTGATGACCAGTGTGATAATCCTACTAGTGACATTAAGTATTTAATTTTGAATTGTTTTATTATGTATAATTGCAAACTTCATAAAGTCTGAAAATTGCAAGTGAAGAGAGGTTATCTCGGGAGGCCAAGGCAAGTGGATTGCTTGAGTTCGGGAGTTTAAGACCTGCCTGAATAAGATACCTGTCTCTACTAAAAATAGAAAAATTAGGGCAGTGCCTATGGCTCAAGGAGTAGGGCGCCAGCCCCATATGCCGGAAGTAGTGGTTCAAACCAAGCCCTGGCCAAAAACTGCAGAAAAAAAAAAAAAAAGAAGAAAAGAAAAAAAAATAGAAAAATTAGCTGAGTGTGATGGCGGATGCCTGTAGTCCCAGCTACTTGGGAGGCTGAGGCAAGAAGATCACTTGAGCCACAGGACTCCATCCTAGGTAATAGAGTGAGACGACTCTGTCTAAAAAAAAAAAAAAAAAAATAGAGAAAAGAGGGGTATCTATTCTAGACATTATTTCTGGCTTTCCTTCTGATAATTCCATTGTGATTGGGTAGAGTGGTATTAAACATTAATATGGTCTTTCTATTTTTCTTTCTTTTCTTTTTTTTTTCCAAGACAGAGTCTCCCTATGTTGCCCTCATGCCCTGGTGTCACAGCTCACAGCAACCTCAAACTCTTGGGCTTAAGCAATTCTCTTGCCTCAGCCTCCCAAGTAACTGGGACTACAGGCACCCATCAACACCCAGTTAATTTTTTTGTTACAGTTGTCGTTGTTTAGCAGGCCCTGGCTGGGTTTGAACACACCAGCCCTGGTGCATGTGGCTGGTGCCCTAACCACAGAGCTATGGGTGCAGAGCCTATTTTGCTTTCTTATAGAAAAGGGTTCACCAGGATCAGACAAGTCAGTGGCAATTTTCATTTAATATTTGAGCCATTTAAAAAGTATTACATAGTGATTCAATATACACAGATCTATAAATATAATATACCACATCAATAAAATAAAAAAGACCATATTCTCTCAATTGGCACAGAAAAAGCCTTTCATAATATATCCAGCATCCTTTCATGATCAGAACACTTAAGAAAATAGGCATAGAAGGGACAAACTGATAGAGGCCATCTACAGCAAACCCACAGCCAATTTCATATTGAATGATGTAAAACTGAAAACATTTCCACTCAGATCAGGAATGAGGCAAGGATGCCCACTGTCTCCACTGATATTCAACATAGTAATGGAAGCCTTAGCCATAGGAATCAGGCAAGAGAAGGCGATCAAGGGTATCCAGATAGGGTCAGAGGAGACCAAACTCTCACTCTTCGCTGATGATATGATCCTATACCTGGAAAATCCCAGGGACTCAACTACAGAACTCTTAAAAGTGATCAAGGAATACAGCAGCATCTCAGGATACAAAATCAAGACTTACGAATCAGTAGCTTTTATGTATGCCAACAATAGTCAAGCTGAAAATATATTCAAGGACTCTATTCCTTTTACATTAGTGCCAAAGAAGATGAAATATCTGGGAATTTACCTAACAAAGGATGTGAAAGATCTCTATAAAGAGAACTATGAAACTCTGAGAAAGGAAATAGCTGAAGATGTTAACAAATGGAAAACCATACCATGCTCATGGCTGGGAAGAATCAACATTGTTAAAATGTCCATACTACCCAAAGCAATCTACAGATTTAATGCAATCCCAAGAACTTGAAAAAATAGTACTTCATTTTATATGGAATCAGAAAAAAACCTCAAGTAGCAAATACATTACTCAGAAATAAGAACAAATCAGGAGGTATCACATTACCTGACTTCAGGCTATACTATAAGTCTATAGTGATCAAAACATCGAGGTACTGGCACAAAACAGAGAGGTAGATTTATGGAACAGAAAAGAGAACCAACAGATGAACCCAGCTACTTACCGTCATTTAGCAAGCCCAGGCCGGTTTCGAACCCACCAGCCCCAGTGCATATGGCCAGCACCCTAGCCACTGAGCTACAGGTGATGAGCTTTGTAATTTTATTTTTAATTTCCTGATGTATAATTAGTCATAGAGCTCTCAGCCCTGGAAAACAGGAAGTACATTTCACTTGAGAAGAAGTTTTAAAGTTGTATTCGGTCTGTTAAACATAATTGTTGAATTTTTTTTGTTTTGTTTTTATTTTGCTTTTGTAGGATCCTTTATAATTTGGATCCAACCCACTGCTCTGACCTCATTTTCAACCTCTTCATTTTACTTGCAAAAACTGACCTTTATTACTTCCTGCATGGACTGCTGTCATACTTTTACAAAGTCTCCTCACTATCACTGCTGCTAGATGAATCACATTATTTCTTTGATCAAAAACTTTGATGCCTTTCCTGCTAAATGCAGATTACATACAAAATATGAGTAAATATGGCCCAAATTATTAAATGGAAAATTACCACTGGTTTTTGTGTGACACTGGTGAATCCTTCTCTTAGGAAACCAAAACAGAAAAATTATAGGCTAGCATTCAAAATCTTCCATAATTCTAGTTCCAATTTGCCTTTCCAACCATATTACTCTTCTTCAGCATGACCCGTCAGCAAAATGAACTATTTCTATACATGCCCAGCATTTTCCTGCTTCTTTGTCTTTTCTTGGTGTTCCTTTACCAGAAATGCCCTTCCCTACCCACCTTCACATTTACAAAATCAATCCAGGTCAGTCCAGGAATGCCACATCCCTGTGATGAGAATAATCTTTTCTCCTATGAATTCTCACAGCATTTTGATCCCTAACACTCTGGTGACATTTGGTATTGTATGGTTTATCCCTTTCAGAGCTCCATCCCTTTACAGCTTTCTGAATCATTTTTCTATCCTTATGATGATATACACATAGTAAGTGCTCAAAAAATATGTAATGACTAAGCAAGTAAGAGTAGTTTGTAGCTCTAGATAAATGCATTTGTCTGTTATGTCTTAAGTTTTTCACTTAATTCTCAAATTCTTTTCGCAGGTTCTCAGAGTTTTTATCAGGAACATAATGATGATATTCTGTGCCTCACTGTGAATCAGCACCCCAAGTTTATCAACATAGTGGCAACTGGCCAAGTAGGTATGTTTCTGTATTTTAAAAAGCAACAATTTGACGCATTTGTTTTGTTTAAATAAATTCAATATTCTAGGAAAATATTAAAATATGTGCATCCAGCCTGAGCAAGAGCAAGATCCTATCTCTAAAAATAGTGTTGTGGTGGATGTCTGTGGTCCCAGCTACTTGGGAGGCTGAGATCAGAGGATGGCTTGAGCCCAAGAGTTCGAGGTTGCATTGAGCTATGAGGCCATGGTACTCTATTGGGTGTGACAAAGTAAGACTCTTTCTCATATATATGCATATATATATACACATGTGTGTGTGTATATATATACATGTATAATATATGTATGTATATATATATACATGGATTGTTCAAAATCTGTATTTATATAAAATATACACCCAATTATACCATACTATTTCTTCCAAGTATCTTTACGTCCGTCACTCACTTTGATTATTGGAATTAGTTTAGATGATTTGGATTTAAAATTAACTTGTATGGTTGAAATGGTTGGGATCCTTTAGCAGGAATTTCTGATTAGCAAAAAGGTTTAATTCAATAGCATTTAAAGCAGAAAAAGAGGGCGGTGCCTGTGGCTCAAGGAGTAGGGTGCTTGTACCAGGGGTGGCAGGTACAAGCCTGGCCCAGGCCAAAAAACCACCAAAAACAAAAAAAAAGGCAGAAGAAGATTTGAAGAGAAAATGGTGTGTAAGGGGAGCCACACAACTAGACTGAGAGGGCAGAACCTGCTTCAGTAGAGGTCAGGCTAGAAAGAAGGGAAAACCCAAGTATGTTTCATGTTGGTAAATCTCTTCTGCCTTTTTCTTTGGTGTCGATTTAATTTCACCAGCTGAAATTGAAATGCACCTGTTGTCTTTTATCTCTGTGGAAAAACAAAGGCTATAACTTTATAAAGCATAGCAGGTTTATCCTCCTTTATAGAGGATAGCAGGTTTATTTAGGAGATACCTGCCGACCATGACTGCTACGAATGTAGCCTAATAGATCTGCTCAGTCAGATCTTCACAACTCTGGTATAGTTTGGAAAAGTTATTAAAATTAGTGGGTTAGTTGGACTTCAGTGGGCCTTGATTGCTAAGCTAGCTTTTCAGTTGTCTCTTTTTCTTGACTAAGATAGTTTGTGCTTTTGATATCTTCATTTCTCATGCAAGTATTAAACTGATCAGTTGGGAACTCATTCTCTGGGAGCTGGATTCGACAGCTCTTCTGCATAGACCCTTGTATTTTTCTTTTCTGTGTAGCTTTTTCCTCTTAAAAGTTTTTTTGTTTTTTTTTAAATTTTGAGACAGAGTTTTACTTTGTCACCCTAGGTAGAGGGCATCATAGCTCCCAGTAACCTCAAACTCTTGGGCTCAAGTGATTCTCTTGCCTCAGCCTCCCAAGTAGCTGGGACTTCAGGTGCCCACCACAACGCCTAGCTATTTTTTGAGATCAGGTCTCACTCTTGCTCAGGCTGGTCTCGAAACTGTGAGTTCAGGGGAGTCTATCTGCCTTGGCCTCCCAAATGCTAGGATTATAGGCATGAACCACTGTGCCTAGCCTTTCCTCTTAAAGTTAATTTTAAAAAGTTAATAGATTATTTCTTCACCTATTATATAGAAAATATTCCAATCTTTATATGTAAACACCGTCCCTGGTTGGCTTAAGTTTATTGAAAGCAAAGTACTATTTTCACTCTGCACAGGAATGAAGGCCCATCTCCTTGAGGAATGAGAGATCATGTAGCTCAGTGCATCTTGGCACATACCATGTTTCCCTGAAAATAAGACACTGTCTTAAATTTATTTTTTCTCAAGAAGATACACTAGGGCTTATTTTCAGGGGATGTCTTATTTTTATTAAGTATAACACAACAGTCTACATTTATTCAAATACAGTTAAGTCATTTTCTTCTGGAACCTGACAGGGGGAGCCAACCTTGTTGGTGGGGCTGGCAGTAGTGATGCGTGAACTCCTTTCCTATAGCCGTTCGCACGTGCGCAATAGGATGTTTGCCACCATGGTCACCACACGCTCACCCGCGCAAGTGCGAACAGCTTGGAGAAAGGAGCTGTGGCAGATAAAAGGTATTCCAGTCTTCCTTACCACTCTGCGCCAAAATGCATGGCATGGCTGTGCAGATAGGTCTTATTATCAGGGTAGGGCTTATATTTAACAAATGCATAGAAATCCTGCTAGGGCTTGTTTTTTGGGTAGGTCTTATTTTGGGGGAAACACAGTAGTTTTTATTCAGTAAATTTTTATCAAGTAAATCCATTTATTCAACAAACTTACTGAACATCTGCAATTTGTAAGAAATTGTTCTAGTTGCTTGGGATACAAACAGCTACAAAATCCCTGTATTAGTGGAATTTGTATTCTGCAAATAGAATTCTAGAAGGTATGGTTCTTTCGTTTCTTAACTTTGCTTCTTCTCCTCTTCTTTCCTCTCCCTCTGTTAAGCAACTTTATTTATAGTACATATTAGTATACCCTTCCAGAAAATGATAATAAAAATGCTTTACTGATGACTAATTAAGATAGATTCAAGGGAGAATCAAAGAATGAGGAGGGACTTTTTTTTTCCTCTTCTGAACATGAAGAGAATTGTGTTGGTTGTTACTTCCAACAGCACAAAGCACTGTTTTAAAAAGTTTATTGTTACTTGTGTTAAAAAATAATACAGATCATAGAGGAATTGAAGTATTTTATGTTGGGGTATTTTAACCAGTTATATCCAAATTTATCTTTATTTGTGGCTAGAATCATGGAATCTCAAGGCCCAAGTGTATTATTTTATCCTGTCCATCATTATATGCTTGTACCTCACCACCTCTTAATGCCTGATGAAGTAATCTAGCCTCTCCCTATAAGGCTCAGTTATAAAGTGGTTCTTCACGTAGAATAGAAATGTCTGTCTGTGATTGCTACTCATTGGTTCTAATTCTCGGGGAACTAGAACATCTAATCACTCATTCCTATGATGTTGTTTTCCAGTTTTGGAAATATTCTGAGTTTTATCTAGTTCTTTTTTAGAAGGCCCAATTTGCAGTCAAATGCTCTACCTCTGAGCTATACCCCTCAAGAAGGCCCAGCGTGGATATCCTCTACCTACGTTCCATACAAAGTGTAAATGAAAACATGGAAATTCTTTTCCGTAAGGGAGCCTACCCCTCCACTGGGCCATACTTAAGGTATCTGAAATTCCAGAATTCTCTACCAAATGGTCCTGAACCTACTTCTGGAACTCAGTGAACCTTTACTGTGAGTTCCATACTCTGAGTGGCCGCCAGTACAGCCAACGAGTGTGCCTTTGAGGGATGGCCAAGGGGTAGCTGTTCAATGGATGGAGTTTTGATGTGCAAAACATGGGTAACCACATGCCTTACTTAGTTTGAGTTGCCTGTAACAAATACCCTAGACTGGGTGGCTTATACAACAGAACTTTATTTCTTATAGTTCTGGAGACTGGAAATCCCAAGATCAGGATGCTGGCATGGCTAGGTTGTGGTGAGGGTCTTCTCCAGGGTTTGCAGATGGCCATCTTCTTACTATATCTTCACTTGGTGGAGAAAAATATTCTTTTTTCTGTTTCTTCTTATGAGGACACTAATCTCATTGTTAGGGCTCTACCTTCATGACCTAGTGACCTCCAAAGGCCCCACCTCCTAAAACCATCACACTGGAGATTAGGGTACAAGTGTATAAAATTGGACAGGACACATACATTCAGTCTGTAGCATCACACAGGAGTTTCCATGGCTCTGGGGGTGGGAAGAGTATGGGACAGGTTGTTAGCTCTCCAAGGAGTTTTAAATTTATACCAGGCTTTCTACGTTATTAGAGGGGCATACTGTACTTCATAATTGTTATCTTGATTGTCAACTTTAAAATATTTAAACCAATGGTGTTTAAGCCTTCATTTGTACTCTTGTACCAGACCCTGTAGCTATTAAGAGACAAGCCTGATCTCTAAACCATACACTCTCTGTCTTTCAACCATTTTTCACATGGCATAGTGCTGAGCACTCTCACCATTTTGTTGGTATTAGTGTGTGCTCAGAACTACAAATAGCATTTCCCATGTGGTCCACTCAGCAAACTCAAGTACATTCTTTACTTTTTTTCCTCATGTGCCAGGTCAAGGCAGTATGGGCCTTTGTTAACAATATATCCTTGAAATCATTATTTCATATGGACATAAGGCTCTACGAAAGCAAAAATGGTCACTTTGTCATTTTAAAATTCCTAAATTTTGCTCCTTGCTCTAAAGATTATCACTTTTTACGGTTTGGTTAATAGATATTTCCACCACAAATTTAATGAGCATAGGCTTTCACATTTTTTGGCAAACTTCTACTCATATGGAAAATTTTTAGTTAAAAGAAAGAACATTTTTTTCTTTCTTGAGTTATGTGGTAACCTTTGCCATCATGTCTCTCAGAAGGTTTATATCTAATTCCTTCCTGGAGGAGGGAGCGTGATTGGCGGGATCACGCCTATGGTTCATCCTATAAGGGTACATGTGAATCTCTCTAAATGTAGAATATAAATGTCTTAACACAATAAAAGAAAGAATAATAATAATAATTCCTTCCTGGAGATAAGAGATGCATGAAAACTCCAAAGGGCTTATTACCAATGCATTTTATAAACCAAAATAAGGATCACATCAATTTAAATCATATCGCTATTATTTTTAAAGTTTTTATAATTAAAATTTTATGTAACTCATTAAATATAAAGAAAAAGGTTTTATATAAAGAAAGACTAAAGATCATACATAGAATAGGTATGTATAATTAAAACGAGTAGTTGAACACAATTAAATGTAATAAAATTAATCTTGTATATGATACTTTATCATTTAAATTATTTTAAATTATTTGATAATTGAACTTTTACACATTTTACTGTTAGTATTTATGTTATTTATGGATAATTATTTTTTCTTTGTAGGTGATTCAGCAGACATGTCAGGTAAGAAAAATTAAACACTTTCTGTTTTAGTTTTATTGTTTGGTAATGATAGCCTAAATTTTTGTAAAATAATAAGATATTGAACTTATATATCTATAAAAAACCTATAGGTTTTTTTTTAAATGAAGACTGTAACATTTTAATGTCATGATACTGAACTCAGTCCAGAACAATATATATTTTTTATTTTTTTAATATATATTTTTAAATTCATGGTAGTTAATAACTTGCCAGTGTCTTGTAGCTAGTGAAAATAGAGGTGGGTTTTTTTTTTTTTTTTTTGAGACAGAGCCTCAAGCTGTCCCCCTGGGTAGAGTGCCATGGCATCATAGCTCATAGCAACCTCCAACTCCTGAGCTCAAGCGAGTCTCCTGCCTTAGCCTCCCAAGTAGCTGGGACCACAGGTACCCACCATAACGTCTGGCTATTTTTTGGTTGCAGCTATAGCTGTTGTTTGGCAGGCCCAGGCTGGATTCAAACCCGCCACCTTAGGTATATGTGGCTGGTGCCTTAGCCACTTGAGCCACAGGCGCCAAGCCTGGAGGTTGGTTTAAACTTAATCTTAAATATAAATCAGTAAATTTTATTGCCTTAGAATGACATATTTTTAAAATTTATTTTTATATACAATTTGATTTATTGTACATATTGGCTAAAGAGATTATTAAAAGATTTAAAAATAACTTTTTATTATTGATTTTTAATCCTGGCTTTGTGAATTTAAAAAGCTTTTTTTTTTTTTGAGACAGAGTCTTACTCTGTCACCCTGGCTAGAGTGTTATGACATCACAGCTCATAGCAACCTCAAACTCTTGGACTTGAGCCTCTCGAGTAGCTGGGACTATAGGCCTGGGCCAATATGCCTGGCTAGTTTTTCTATTTATTTTTTAGTAGAGAAAGCAAGTAGAGTCTTGCTTTTGCTCAGGCTGGTCTCAAACTCCTGAGCTCAAATGCCTCGGCCTCCCAGAGTGCTAGGATTACAGGTATGAGCCACCATGCCAGGCCTAAAAAGCTATTACAGTAATGTGTATCCATTGTTTGTTGATATTATAATAATCGGGCTTTTTTTCTTTCAATTTTTTTTTCTTTTGTTTTCTTCCTAACACTACCTATCTGTCAATAAGTAGACTTTTCAACTGTATTTTCAGTTTATGTAACATAATAAGAATTTGTAGATTGATAATAACAAAACATTCCCCAGCAATTTGTACCTGTTTCCCTCCCCTCTTCCATAGCAAAGCATGATTTGTGATTTGACTATTTAACCACAAATTCATCCAGCACGATAGAAAAAGTCCTTGCTCTCCTGATTAAACGAAAGAGTGGGGGGTTGGCAAACTATAGTGGCCCACAACTTGTTTTTATATGGCTCATAAGCTGTAGGTAGTTTTTACTAATTTAAACAGTTGGAAAAAGAATAACATTTAGGATACACTAAAACTATATAATATCCAAATTTCTGTATCTATAAATAAAGGTTTGTTTGTTGACAAAACAGCCATGTTTGTTCAATTTCACACTTTCTCCAATGGCCTCGTAGTAACCACAGAGACTGTGACACTACTACTGCTTTGCACTGCTGTTCAGCACACACAAGTTCCAGTGACACAGTGTCACTCTGATATATATGAGCACTCTGTATATTACTATATCATAACATTTTATTTTGTTTTTTAATCTCCAAATTGTTAAAACAAGGGAGGGGGAAGAAAACTAGTCTGAATGTCGTAATTTTTAAGGCACAGTGAAGCATAGATTATGTTGTTATCAAATGAGATAATTGTGTTATCTCATAACACATAAGTGTTGTATTTGTTTATTTATTTATTTTTTGAGACAGAGCCTCAAGCTGTCTCCCTGAGTAGAGTCCCATGGCATCACAGCTCACAGCAATCTCCCAACTCCTGGGCTCAAGTGAGTTTCCTGCCTCAGCCTCCCAAGTAGCTGGGACTATAGGCACCCGCCACAACACCTGTCTGTTTTTTTTAGTTGCAGCCGTCATTGTTGTTTTGGCGGGCCCGGCTGGATTCGAACCCGCCACCTTAGGTCTATGTGGCTGGCACCTTAGCCGCTTGAGCCACAGGTGCCAAGCCAAGTGTTGTGTTTATAATGTAGTGACACCATAGCTGTGCTAAAAGAATATAATATACATTAACATTTTCACACATAGCTTCATCACAATATTCCCAACTCATAGGAAAGCAACATTGAGAAAAATTAGAAAATTTAAAACAGAGTATCTTATCACAGCAAATTCTCTTCACAAAAATAAAAATGAAAATGAGGTTACAGGGCTGGGCGTGGTAGCTCACACCTGTAATCCTAGCTCTCTGGTAGGCTGAGGTAGGTAGATTGCTTCAGCTCACGAGTTTGAGACCAGTCTGAACAAGAATGAGACGCTATCTCTACTAAAAACAGAAAAACTTCGCCTGAAATCCTAGCACTCTGGGAGGCCGAGGTGGGTGGATTGCTTGAGTTTAGGAGTTTGAGACCAACTTAAGTAAGAGGGAAACCCCGCCTCTAAAAACACCTGGGTGTTGGGGCAGGTGCCTGTAGTCCTAGCTACTTGGGAAACTGAGACAAGAAGACTGCTTGAGGTCACTATGAGCTATGATACCACGGCACTCTGCCTAGTGGAAGAAACTGATACTCTGTCTCAAAAAATGAAAAAAACTAGCTGGGTTGGGACAGCGCCTGTGGCTCAAAGGAGTAGTGTGCTGGCCCCATATGCTGGAGGTGGCGGGTTCAAATTCAGCCCCAGTCAAAAACTGAAAAAAACAAAGCAAAACAAACAAACAAAAAAACTAGCTGGGTGGGGCATGCCTAGAGTCTCAGCCACTCCGGATTTGGAGACAAGAGGATCACTTGAGCTCAAGAGTTTGAGGTTGCTAAGGCACTCTACCCATGGTGACAGAATGAGAGACTCTGTCTCAAAAAAGAAAGAAAAGAAAAGAAAAAAAGAAAAACTAGCTGGGCGTGGTGGTGCATACCTATAGTCTCAGCCACTCTGGAAGCTGAGGCAAGAGGATCACTTGAGCCCAAGAGTTTGAGGTTGCTATGAGGATATGACAGCAGGGCACTCTACCTACGACGAAAAGAATAAAAGAGGCTACAACCAAAATAAGTTTCTGAGTGGTTCTTTGGTTAGCCAATCAAGAAAAGCTATTTACTGACATACCAACAATTAATTAAATTGTGTTTGCAGCAGGTGAAGAAAGGTGTCTAGAGAAAATGAACTTATTTAAGACTATTACCTTTTAACAAAAGCAGTTCTAAAAGAGTTGAGGGCTCAAACTGCAGTTCCAGCAGCATATTTCAGTTGATGATGCAAGTGGACAAGAAAATTGCCACATTTCAAAAATCAGTTTAACTCTACAGTTGATAACGTCTACCTGACCTTCAATTTAAAGTGATCATTGTGGCTCGGCGCCTGTGGCTCAAGCGGCTAAGGAGCCAGCCACATACACCTAAGGTGGCGGGTTCAAATCCAGCCCTGGCCCGCCAAACAACAATGATGGCTGCAACCAAAAAATAGCCAGGCGTTGTGGCGGGCGCCTGTAGTCCCAGCTACTTGTGAGGCAGAGGCAGGATCCTCGCTTGACGCCAGGAGCTGGAGGTTGCTGTGAACTGTGATGCTACGGCACTCTACCCAAGGGGATAGCTTGAGGCTCTGTCTCAAAAAAAAAAAAATAAAATAAAATAAAGTGATCATTGTGCAATTAGCTGGGTGCAGTAGCTAATACCTATAATCTTAGCATATTGAGAGACCACGGTAGAAGGGTTGCTTGAAGCCAGGAGTCCTGAGCACTATAATGAAACTTTGTCTCTGTACTAAGACATGCACAAAATGCAAGTACTACAGCATGCCTATCCTTCTAGCTACTAGCAGGAGGATTGCTTAAGTTACACCTAGGAGCTTAAGGTTGCAATGAGCTATCTTGAAACCACTGCACTTTAGCTAGGTAACAAAGTGAGACCCTTTCACAGAGGGGGGAGGAAAATGATTCTGCAATGTAATGCATGTGAAATAGTACATGGCAAATATCAAGACAGAGCTCTCATAGAATTTTCTAAATGCCTTCCAAGCAACTAATATGCTCAAGGAAAATCATATGCTTGTGGACTAATACCATTACTTGGTAATACCTATCTATGTGAAAGAACATTTTCGAAGTGGAAATGTGTGAACTCTTATTACAGATCAGAATTCACATGTGAACATTTGCCACCAATTTTTTTTTTTTTTGGTAGAGACAGAATCTTATTTTGTCGCCCTCAGTAGAGTGCCGTGGCGTCACACAGCTTACAGCAACCTCCAACTCCTGGGCTTAAGTGGTTGTCTTGCCTCAGCCTCCAGAGTAGCTGGGACTACAGGTGCCCATCACAATGCCTGGCTATTTTTTGGTTGCAGTTTGGCCGGGGCCGGGTTTGAACCCACCACCCTCGGTATATGGGTCCGGTACCCTACTCACTGAGCCACAAGTGCCGCTCTATTTGCCACCAATTTTGATGATAGAGAACTCTGACTTTGAACCTCAGCTAAGTGAAATGTTATCTATTCAAAAAATAATGTTATTCTTTACATTAAATCTTTATTATAAAAATTTTTACTCAGTGAATTTCATCAATAAAAATTCTGTGGAAATTTGCTTTCTCTCTTACTACACAAGAATCTACATAATTTCAGTTTTGTCTCTTATCTAACCCTTTATAGAAAAAGTTTGATGATCCCTGCCCCAGAGAGAAACAGAGAATATAAATGAGTAAAGTTTAAAAAATAACTTGATTTAAGATGGCAATAAGTGTGATAAAAACAAATGAGATGATGGCAATAAAATAGTCTTTGCTTTCTCAGAGGTGGTAACATTTGGCGAGGGCAGGAATGATACAGAAATGATAGCTGAAGCATGATCTAGGAAGGTGAGTTTTTAGCTGGTGTGCCACAGCTTTGGTGTGCTGCGAAAATTTTTAAAGATCATTAAATTATTTTCCAAAGAAAT